TCAGTGAGAGGTTTCTTGTAGCGGGCGGGCATGTGGCCTCCACAGCGCTCTGGAGGGGCTACAGGGTTGATTAGTTCCACCCTGCAAGTCTGGTCATTCCCCAGAAGTCAGGCTGATTCAGACAGCATAGGAAGTACTGGTTCTAAAAATCTGTACGATGTATCAGTGAGAAAATGCTCAGCAAAAGTGGAGTGTGAGGTGCTGGAGAGATGATGGTGAAGAGTATGCCGTTCTTGCAGAGGACCCGAGTCCAGGTTCCCAGACCCACATTGGTAGGCTTATAACCTCCTGTAACTCCAGCTCCAGGGGATCTGACACCCTCTTCTGGCCCCTGCAGGCACCTCTGCACACACATAGATACACAAATGTATATAATTTGAATTATTATTATTATTATTATTTTTGAAACAGGGTTTCCCTGTAGCCCCAGCTGGCCTGGAGCTCACTATGTAGACCAGTCTAGCCTTGAACTCACAGAGCTCTGCCTGCTTCTGCTTCCCAAGTGCTGAGACTACAGGTGTGCGCCACCACGCCCGGCTGAATTAATTTTTTAATGGAGTAGGAAATGATGGAGGCACATAAAGCCAGTGTGCTCCTTGACACAAAGGCTGGGCCTGTGAGTCAGTCAGTGCCTTTGTGTTTCCTGTCTTACAGGGAGCTCTTTGCACTGCGTGCCCTGGCCCCACACCGCATGCCTCTCCCTGTGTCCAGCATCACAGCTACAGCACACTCCTCCCCTTTTACCACCTCTTTCCTTTCTCTCTGGTTTTGCTTGTTTCTGTGTGCCAGGACAGACCCTCCTTTTGTTGGCAAACAGTGTCCCCTGCAGGACCAGCTTCCATGGCACTCTGTGATGCCTGTCCTGTGTCCTCAGAGCCTGTACCACCTTCACATTAGACCCCTCCGTGTGCAGTGCACGTCACAGCCCCTAGGAGAGTGAGCTTCACCGGGGCAGAAGCCATATCTCTCACCTCTCCAGCCCCAGGCTGGCACAGAGCCTGGTAGGTGTGTTTGAGTCCCGGGAAGTCACACAGCCACCACCCTGTGATGCAGACACTATTGTAGGTTGCAGACACATCCACGGCCTCCTTTCACTTACCCTAGCAGGGTTACCCATCTCTCAGATGAGGGAACTGAAATCCAAATTATGTGGAATATGAGCGTGTCGGACTTTGAACCTGCCTCCCCACCTCACAAAGGGGATGATGATACATTTGAGACGGAAGAGTGAAGACCGTGGTTCATCCGAAGCAGCATGTTCAGCTCCCAGCAAGTGCTGGGTCTGCTTCCCTCTCATTAACATGATGAACACTGGTTCCCTCAGCTACTGGGAGGCAGAGGAAGTATTTGAACCTGAATACTCTTATCACTGGCCTAGTTTGCTTTTCCGTTGTTGTGATGAGGTACCATGGCCCAAACCTGGGCTTGCTCAGTTACTTTTCTACGCAGCCCATGTCTACCTGCCCATGGATGGTATCACCCACAGTGGATCCTCCTATGTCAATTAACAATTAAGAAAATGCCTCACAGACATGGCCACAGACCAGTCTGATGGAGAAAGTGTCTCAACTGAGGGTCCCTCTTCCCAGGTGGCTCTAGTTTATGTCAAGTTGGTAAAAATCTAACCAGTACACAACAAAGCCACAGCCTACCACCAATGCTGGTGGGCCATCCCAGGGTCGTCCTGCCTGAACTAAGGGAACAGCACTCAGACACATTGCCTGTTAGCAAAGCAAAGTTTCCACGCTCTCCATCCCAGAGGTCTTGGGAAGCTTTGGGAAGAGGAAGCAAAGAGCTTCTACCACTATCACTGTCGAGCCCGGGTGGGCAGCATGGGCATTGCTGTGTAGCCTGCAGTTAGGAGGGAACCCACGTGGCAAACCTTAAGACGCTACAGCTTCTTGTTGGGTACCAGTGATAATTGTTTATGGCCCCAAGGAAAAGAAAGGTGTGGTGCTGGGACTCTGGGACTCGGTCCTGGATCACCTGGTTCTTTGCTTGTGATGTCTGGCAAGTCATTTCACACACACACACATACACCAGTGTGAGCCTTGGATAAAGCTGCAAGGGAGAAGGTGACCCCCGCCCCCCCCCGGTCTTTAGCCCTTCAGGAACATGAGTCCTTAACATCCTGGGGCCCTGGCCATGGTCTCAGATTGGTGTACCAATGACTGTGTCATCAGAAAGCAATCTTTTGTATGGGGTTCCTTTGCTGAGGCAGTCTAAATTAATGCATTCAGTAGTCCCATAATTTAGGTGCAACCAGAATGCATTTTTCACTGAAACTAGAGTTATTTAAAAATATATCCAGAGGACTAGTGAAACGATTTAACAGGTAAAGGCACTTGCTGCCATGCTTGGTGACCTGAGTTCAATCCTTGGAATCCACATGGTGGAAGGAGAAAACTGACTCCATGTAGTTGCCTTCTGACACCCCTCCCCACCCCATTCGTATCATACACACACACACACACACACACACACACACACAATGATAATAATCACAATAAAATTAAAATTCTTTTATAAGTGTGTGGTTTTGAACATGTTCCTGTGGGTATGTGTGCCTGTGGGCTGGAGTCTAGCCTACCCCAACATCCCACCTCTGAAATGCTCACTGTCTGCCCTCAGCACTGTGTATGTGTGAGCCGTGTCCCATGCCCAGGTGCATGTAATTGCCCACCCGTATGTATTGTTTCACCAGCAATAAAATCCCAGCAGGGAAATGAGCAGTACTAAAATTAGGTTGTTTGTCCCCAGTTGAAAAAAAAAAAAGTGTTTATCTAACTGGCTGGACAGACTTTGCTGAGGTCAAAATTAACTGCCCTGGTTAATGGTACATGGGACCATTGTGAAGTGTGGCCACCACAGCGCCACAGTCCCCTTCAAAGGGCATTTGCTCTAAACTTTCTGCCTCTGGCAGGCTCCGCTTTGGGTGGGAGGTATTTTTCCCCTCTGTGATGGATGCAAGTAACCCACTGCTATGCCCTGAACTACTGCAGCTGGTGGACAGATAGACAGATGGACAGACGAATGGATCACTGGTTCAGTGGCAGATACACATTTGATTTACCATATGTCTGTGTCAAGTTTGCGCTTTAGTGGGCCGGGGGGGGGGGGATGCTATGATCAGTGTGCTTGTACTGTTTGCTGAGCCTTCTGTGGCTGGCACTCTGTACGTCAGTCATTTGTGTGTTCACCCATTCAACCAAAACAATAACTAATACACAAGTAGGGCAAGCTAGGCAGATGGAATATAGATTTGAACAACGTGTTCAACCCATGTTCAAGGAGCTTACCGTCTTCTGCACGAGGGAAGCCTTAGATCATTGATTATTTGATGATAGGTGCTTCTATTTTTATTTTAGTTTTCATTAACATGTAATTCATGTACCATAAAAACTCATTTTAAAGTGTAGGATTCGGTGGATTTTTACATAACAGCAGATTGCTTTTTAAGTCTTACAGCTGAATGAAAAGTTCAGTCAGTTCCTGTTTTGTTAACACAACCTCAGACAGTTGGCTTGATTGACTTGAACAGATTTTTTTCAATGTGTTGGCACTGGATTGCCTCTAGTTGCTAATGTCACAAAACAGAGGGGCTGGAGAGATGGCTCAGTGGTTAAGAGCACTGACTACTCTTGCAGAGGACCTGGGTTCGATTCCCAGCATCAACATGATGGGAAACAACTGTCTATAACTCCAGTTCCAGGGGATCCGACACCCTCTTCTGACCTTCACAGGCATGCAGGACATGGGTTTACATACGTACATGCAGGCAATACACTCATATGCATAAAATAAAAGTATTTAAAAAAAAACAAAGCAGAGAGGGGCATCACCAGTCTCCAATTCAGAATCATCTCCAGGAAGCCTCACTGCGGGAAGGGATGCGGCTCTGACTCCTCCTTGGAGTTGCTGTTCTCCCGAGATGGCACCAAGGACTTCCTTCTCCTCCCCTTCCTTGCTGAGCCTGCCACATTCCAGTGTCTCACAGTTCTTTTCCTCAAGGACCATTTCTCAAGCAGGTCCCAGCCAGGGTTGTTTGGAACTCCAAGATCCAGTCCATACACACTGAGCAGGATACCAATGCGGCATTTGCCATGATCCAGCTCAGCCCAGTGTCAAGAACATGGGCTGTGAGCTATGTTACTGTACTTGAAATATATTTCCTTTAAAGAAACCTGGCCAGTGATCTCATGGGGCCCACGCAGGATCAGATAGTCCAAGTTCAGTGTTCGGTTATGCTCAGGCTCGGCTTTGCCACCCATTGCCCTTTGCAAACGAGGAGGGTCACCCCAGCAGTCCCTTTAGGCTGTTCTGGGAAGGACCCAGGTCCAGGTACAGCTCTGAACCCGAGCAATCTCCTGTTAGTGACTGTGCTCTTGGGGACTCTGGATGTAGACTGTAAGCCATCTATTCAGAAGATCCTGGAAGTCCTTCCTCCCTTCCCCACAGCCCTGGTTCTGACGGAACCAGGAGTAAATTAGCATTTTTGTGGGAAGCCCGTGAAGGCCCCAGTGGCAAAGGTGACATGATGGTGTAAGATCAGGCATCTGAGAAGCCTGCATCTCCGGCAGCGTCTCCATCCCTCAGAACTCCGTTTTCTCCATGGCACTGCCATCCCAGCTTTCCCTATGATGCGCTGAGGACTCATCAGTTCCCCTTACATTGCTTAGGTGAACACGTACTTAGGCCGGTGCTGACAGTCAAAAGTATGTTGTGAATACATCTGACTGCTAATTTTCTTCACCAGTTCCCTTCTGCTGCTTTGGGCTAATTAAGCTGAGTGTGTTTTCTCCACCCCCGCCCCACCAAAAAAAAACCCACTAGAGTCAGTCGCTGAGTTCTCCTTGGACTGCACTTGGTGATAGAGCCTTGGGGAATCCTCATCCCCTTCCTTCCTCTTAGAGCACAAGATGGCTATGCAGGGCTCCTGTACACACACGACAAGAGTGAGGCTGCTGCTGAACCCATGCCCGTGTCATCTTCTTTTAAAGGTATATGACTGACGGTGGGCTTGGCCTCTACACGCGTCGCCTGAACCGGCTTCCCGACGGGATGGCTGTGGTGCGGGAGACCCTACAACGAAACACCTCCCTGGGCCTCGGAGATGCTGACAGGTAAGGCATGCTGTCCTTGGGGCTGGCCACGTGCAGAAGCCACTTGAAAGTGGCCTGAGAAACGATGGTCGTGATACTGGGAGAGTGGGTGGGGGGCTCTTCCAGCCCAAGGAGGAGCAGCAGGACCCTGACACTGCACCTGCGTCAGGAGCGGGCAGAGATGGGAGAGGGTTGCTGTGGTTCCTGAGTCCGGCTTCTGTGTAGGATGGACAAGACTGTTATGTATGTTTTTGCCTGGTGTGTATTTGTTTTTTTAATGGTGCCGGAGATGGAGCCAAGACCTTATGCAGGGGGCTCTGCCACTGAGCTGCATCCCCAGCTCTGGGTGGTGCTTCTGGTAGCAAGAACACCGAGTTCAGGCACAGGTTTCTGTTGCTGTTTTGACTGTTGCTTCATGCTTCTTGGTTCAGCCCCAGGGGCCTGCCTTGCTTCCTCTCTCATTAGTCAGCTTTCTAGGTATTGCAGCTTGGGACATACAAAAGGTCTGTGTGCAGAGAGTTCTGGCTGGGGCTGAGCAGGCTTCCCAGAGTCCCCTGCTGCCCGGCACTAGATGAGGTTTAGGATGTAGGTTCATCTGCCACGTGCTAAATAGTGGGCATTAGTAGAGGTGGGTTACGCCCCATCACCACCGCTGTCAGAGCAGAAGAGCATGAGACCATAAGAGCATGATTACCATAAGAAGGAGGGTCCTTTGACCTGCAAGCTTCTAGTCCTTGCACTAACGCAGAGTCCCACCGTGAGCACGCTATTAAAGGAGAGGTCTGGGCTGCCTGATCTGTAAAGCCCTGCCAACTGTGATATGGGTTTCAGTGTAGATATCAAGTACTCTTCAGCTCTCTGGCTGTTTAGGATGCTCTGGCCCACTTGACCTGGCCCACGTCTGGGTTGATGAGAAAAGGCACGGAACATAGATCTGCCATCTGAAGTTGATGTGTACTTTTAAAAAAAATATTTTATTATTTTTATTCTTATATGAGTACATTGCCTGCATGTATTTAAGTGCACCCATATTGTGCAGTGCTCTCAGAGGTCAGAGAAGGGCATCGAAATCCCCCTGGTACTGGAGTTCTTAGCCGCCATGTGGGTGCTGGGAATGGAACCTGGGACCTCTGAGACATCTTTCCAGCCCCAGTTGCTATGCACTTTTAGGGTGCCCGCTCTCAGATTTTAGGAAGCCATGTTCTAGCACCAGGTTCCCGTCTGCTGTTCTTCTAGGTCATGGCTTTTATAGAGTTGGGTGGGAAGCTGGTTCAGCGGTTACAAGTGCTTGTTGTTCCTGCAGAGGACCCAGCCTCAGTTCCCACACAGCAGCTCACAACCACTATAACTCCAGCTTCAGGGGATCCCTCTTCTGGCCTCTGCAGGCACCTGTACACACATAGCACGTACACAGACACATGCACATAATTTTTTTTAAGAGCTGGGTAAGTTCTGTAGCTCTCGCTTGCTTCAGAGAATCGGGATAGCCTGGCGAAGACACACACACTGCAATCTCACCCAACAGTGGAAGTTCTCATATTCTCTAGGGCAAGGCTAGGAAACTTGGGTTTGGGGAAAGAGCTTGAATTCATTGCCAAGGCCTCAGGATCTGGCCCGGTGTCTCCCAACTCCACACGTCCTCCTTGGAGACCCTGGTATCTACCGTGGCCATTCACATCAGGGATAGCAAAAGGCTGTCCACCAGAGTTCTAGCTCACGTTGGCGTTATTGTTGTTGCTACCTATAATTAATAAAACTGTGTTGGTTGGAATTCCATAGAGAGTCTGAGGATGTAGCTCAGTTAGTAGAGTATTTGTCTAACATGTACAAAACCCTAGGTTTAGTCCCTGGCATTACATAAAAATACTGGATGTGGTGGTGAACACCTGTAATCCTAGCCCTCAGGAGTGGAAGCAGGAGGATCAGAAGTTCAAGGTCATCATGTATATAGCACACAGCTGTGTCTGGAAGGAAGTAAGGGGGGAGGGAGGG